CAGCTACTGAGGCAATCTGGGGAGTGAACCAGCATTTTAAAGATTGATCTCTCTTTGTAACTGCTTTTCAAATAAATGATAAATCTTAAAAACACTCTCTCTCACACACACAGGGGGCAGGCACTGTGGCAAATCTGGGACACTCACAGCCCATATCAGAGTGCCAGCTGGAGTTCCAGCCACTCAGCTTCTGACCCACCCTTCTGCTACGGTACCTGGCCCTAGCACTTCGGTTCCTACCACCCTCCAGGGGGACCCGGACGGAGTTCCCAGCTGCTGCTTGCCACCTGGCCCACCCTGACTGTGGTGTGGACCAGCAGATGGGAGTGTTATTTCTCCACCTTATCAAATAAATAATAACCATATGGAAGGCTTACCTCAAAGCAGTACCAGCCACTTTGCTTTCTCAGCTCCTCATCTCAGCTTCTTCTCTGACCCTGAACACCTCTGGAAATATCTGAAAGTTAATTTGGCCTCAAAGTGTAAACATCCATCCCACATTCTGGAGGTAAGACATGCAACATAGTCTGAAGAATCAAGAACTCAGTGAGGTCCTCTCTCCCGCTAGACGGTGCCGCTGGCAAATGCACGGTTCTCCCGCTGTGTGGTCCTCACCCTCCTTTCTGATAAGCAGCTACAGAAAAGGGAAAAATAAAGCAATCATTAAATAAAGGCAGGAGGCAACTGGAACAAAGGAAAGGGCAAGAGATTAAAAACACAGGTCTGGTGTTTTGTGGCACAGTGGGCTATGCCACCATTTGCAACACTGGCATCCCATATTAGGCCACAGGTTTGAGGCCTGGCTTAGTTTGAAATCTGATTCCCTGATAATGTACTGGGAAGGCATCTGAAGATGGCCTAAATGTCTGGGTCCTTATAACCTACATGGAAGGCCTGGGTGGAATTCCTAACTTCTACTTGACTTAACCCCGGCAGTCACAGTCATTTGAAAGTCATTTGAAGAATGAACAAGCGGATGAAAGATCTCTTTCTCCGTCCCTCTCTTTTCTACCTTTCAAAAAGTTTTTGTTTCTGATTTATGTATTTATTTATTTATGTTTGAAACTCAAGAGTTACAGAGAAGGCAAGACAAAGATCTTCCATCTGTTGGTTCATTCCCCAAATGTCTACAAGGGCCAAAGCTTCGAAGCCCTTGAGGCAGTCTGAAGCCAGGAACCAGAAATTTCTTCTAGGTCTGCCACACAGGTGCAGGGTCCCAAGGCACTGGGCCGTCCTCCACTGCTTTCCCAGGCCCTTGGCAGGGAGCTGGATGGGAAGTGGGGCAGCTGGGACTGGAACTAGCGCCCACATGGGAAACCAGCACGTAAGGTGGAGGCCTTAGCCTGCTACGTCATGGCCCTATCTCCCTTTCCCACTCATTGCTACCACACACACACACACACACACACACACACACACACACACACACACACACACACGTAAGATGGAGGCCTTAGCCTGCTACGTCATGGCCCTATCTCCCTTCCCCACTCATTGCTACCACACACACACACATTTTAGTTTTAAAACTTTGAGAATACTTACTTACTCTTACAGAATAAAGTGTCACCTAACTATAGAATCTCACAATAAAGCCAGTTAAGCTCCTCAAACTAAATGTAATTGTGTCACCAGCAGCAAGTGACCAAACAGGCCAAGCGAGGAGCGTAGATGGGTTGAGATGTCCACGCAGCCTGTCAGAGTACCTGGTGACGTCCAGCTCTGCTCCACTCCGGCTTCTTGCCGATCACACACCCCTGGCAGGCAGCATATAGCCCCAAAGGTTGGATTCCTGCCACCATCTACACAGGACCCTGGCTTTGGCCTGGCCCATGCTCAACTGTCAATATTTGAGAAGTGAATAAACAGCCTTACCTTCCAAACAAATTACTCAAACAAAAGCAATGGAAGAAAAAAAAGAACAAAAAGCTACCCAAACCTGAATTACTACAAAGCTGCTTTCCTCACAGTTCAGCACTGCAGAACTTAAACAGACTCAAGTCTCCATAGGCCACAGTACGTCCTCCTCCCGAGTCAAGCAATCCACTTTCCACACACCTGGTTTCCCCTCTTCCTCTGGTCAATCTGAGGGCACGATGGAATCACCTCGGTGGCAACACACAACCCACCCTCAATCCCCATTCACCCTACAACGACTTCTAACTTCTCTGACAAACCTCCCACTGGAGCAGCTTGCATGATGAGTCCCCAGCTGACAGGAGTAGGTGCGATCCTGCCCTAGTGCCTCTTCTTCAGGTCTCATTTCGCTGCTGTGTGCCAAAGCCACGGCTGACCTCTAAAGGTTATACAAGCCTTCAACCTCAGGCCAAGAGCGTTCTGTGCTGATCATAAAGCAGACCAAGTGCTGAAGGAAAGAATCTTAACTACTGCTGCATGATTCCAGACAGCGAATGTTCAATGAAATATCAAAAAACTTCTAGGGAAAGAGAAATCTTTAGCTCCACTCACAGGAGCAGCACACTTTTTTAATGTAGCAAAAACATCTACTATCTACCATGTTATTAATTGAGGTTTTTAAAATATTTTCATTGCAAAGTCAGATATACAGAAAGGAGGAGAGACAGAGGAAGATCTTGAATCTGATGATTCACTCCCCAGGTGACCGCCATAGCTGATGCTGAGCCAAGCCAAAGCAGGAGCCAGGAACTTCTTCCAAGCCTCACACGCAGGTGCAGGGTCCCAAGGGTTTGGGCTGCCTCGACTGCTTTCCCAGGCCACAGGCAAGGAGCTAGATGGGAAGCAGGGCTGCTGGGATTAGAACAAGCACCCATATGGGAACCTGGCTTGTTCAAGGCAAGGACTTTAGCCACTAGGCTGCCACATTGGGCCCCATATTAGCTTGACAAGCCACAAGCACTTTGGGCCAGCAGGTTGGCTCAAATGGCAAATCCTCCACCTCCTAGATCCTATATAGGCACCACTTCATGTTCCAGCTGCTCCACTTCCCACCCAACTTTCTGCATATGGCGTGAGAAAGTAGTCAAGGATGGTCCAAAGCCTTGGGACCCTGCACCCACATGGGAGACTCAGTAGGGGCTCCTGGGTTCGGACTGGCTCAGCTCTGACTATTGTAGCCACTTGGGGAGTAAACCAGCAAGTGTAAGATCTTTCTGTCTCTCCTCCTCTAAATCTGCCTTTCCAATAAAAATCATTTTTTAAAAAGGACATTTTATGTAAAAAAAATTCCTGTATTTTTAGAAAGTACATAAAAATCAAAAGTGAGAGTATATCAGATACCAAATCAAAATTTTTTAGACTTATTTTTATTGGAAAGGCAGATAAACAGAAAGGAGAGACAGAGAGGAAGATCTTCCATCCATTCACTCCCCAAGTGTCTGCATCAGCCAGAACAGAGTCAATCCAAAGCCAAGAGCCAGGAGCCAGGAGCTCTCCCCGGTCTCCCACACGAGTGCAGGGTCCCAAGGCTTTGGACCATCCTCCATTGCTTTCCCAGGCCACAAGCAGGGAGCCTAGAAGGGAAGCGGGGCCGCTGGAACACAAACCAGTGCCCACATGGGATCCCAGCGCATGTAAGTCAGGACTTGAGCCACTAGGCTTCAACTTCGTACAGAAGTCAAGGCTGGCACAATGAATCGATGAATCTACCTTCATTTCTCTTCCTGTAGAGAGCCAAAAACCTCCACCCCAAATGGAAATAAAATTACAACCTGTGTCCATTGCTTGTATTAACTAAGCCTGTTATTTTCTGTTACAGAGAGGAGAGACAGAGAGGAAGATCTTCCGTCCAATGATTCACTCCCCAAGTGAGCGCGACGGTCGATGCTATGCCAATCTGAAGCCAGGAGCCTCTTCCGGGTCTCCCACACGGGTGCAGGGTCCCAAAGCTTTGGGCCGTCCTCTGCTGCTTTCCCGGGCCACAGGCAGGGAGCTGGATGGGGAAGCGGGGCTGCCGGGATTAGAACCGGCGCCCATATGGGATCCCGGCGTGCAAGGTGAGGACCTTTAACCACTTGTGCCACCACGCTGGGCCCGGCCCAAATATTTTTTAAAGACTTACTGTTATTAGCAAAGTAGAGCAGACTCAGAGAGGAGAGACAGAGAAAGATCTTCCTTCCATTCACTGATTTACTCTGCTAATGTTCACAATGGCCAGAGCTGAGCCAATCCAAAACCAGGAGTGAAGACCTTGTTTTAGGTCCTCCACGCATGTCCCAAGGGCCCACAGCTTTTGGGCCATCCTCTGATGCTTTCCCAAGCCACAAGTAGGGAGATGGACAGGAAGTGAGCAGCCCGGACAATCACCTGTACTTGCAATGTCAGGACTGAGGCACTAAGCCACTGCATGAGGCCCAAGTTTTGGTTTTTTACCATCACATTTTTTCAATTTTGTAAATAAAACATCATGGCTTGCCTGACATTTGGATTTTACTTTTTCTATAAACACCATTTTACTATTTTTGCAGAACTGAATAATTTTTTTAAAAATCAATATTAATTTTCTTGAAAGGGACAGTGAGAAAATATTCCCTCTATGGCTCCCTTCCCAAAAGGCTGTGAAGGCGAAGCCAAGAGTCAAGGAACTCATTGGAGTCTCCATGTGGGCGGCCAGGACCCTCTTGTTTGGGCCACCTGCTGCTGGCTCCCGGGCTGTGGAATCAGGCAGCTGGGCCTCTAAGCTAGCTCGCCAACATGGGAGACCAGTTTGCTACAAGCAGTGGCTTAACCTGCAAGACTACGTCAGCCTCAGCTTTGAGCCAATTGTTATAATCAATTTATCAGTTTCTTAAAAGAGGCAAGTATAATTTTTTTTTTTGTATTCTCTTAAAGGCCTAAAATGTGGTTCACAATTTATCTATTTCTCTCCTTAATTAGTACACTTTACACGACCACAGACCGGTCCCGTACTCCTCAACAGTACTTCTATAAAAACACATACATAACCCAGAAATCCCTGTGCATTCCAAAACCAACACAAAATATAATATATATATAATATAAAGATGAACCAACAGGGAACATTTAATTGCAAATATATTTATTATAATGTACAGATTAGCTGTTATATACACAAATAGAATTTTAGCTATAAAATCCTCAACTATTTACATTTTACACTGGATCTGAAGAAGCCAACTCAGAAGTCCTCTTGTTCCCTAACTTCACCTTCCTTAAATTATAAAAAATAAAACCTGATGAAAGTTTCAAGTTACAGATGAAGAGGTGTCTTCACATCTCACCATTCAGAACTGGACAGCTGACCTGTCTGGACAAAACCTTTCCCATGCTACATTTACACGCATAGCACCATTACAAGATTTGAAATGTGTACATGTCCAACCAGGACCTCCAAGGCATTTCTTTCTAGCATTCTTAGGAAAGCAAGAACTGGGATGAAATAGACAAGTTTTTCTCCTTCAGGATAGTTTTAACATGGTCTTTCCGATCACTCTACAGGCGTGTGGCATATGTGAGAATTCCTAACACAGCTTTTGCTCCAGGGGCTGTGAGGCTCTCGTCCCAAGTGAAGATAACCCAGTACTTGGGACAGAAGGGCCAGATTCCTAACACAAAACCTAACCCACGCTTCAGTCTGGTTTTAGAGGAATGCTCACCACTGCCACGGGGATGCCTTCCAAGGGCCATAGGCTTCCTAAGTGTGCCCCTAAAGGGCCTCGGGGCTCAAAAGGGCGCTGCCAAGACTTTGCTGACCTTGCTGGCCTCGCACTCACAGTGTGTGCCCAAGAGATTCCAAACACTAGCACTGCAGGCCAGGTAGCTGAAGACTTGAGGTAGTAACCTGGCAAGCACAGATGAAAACTTCTGCCCCACACTGCAATGCATTCACAAGGAGAGCTCACCTACTCTACTGATGTTCCCCACTACCTATGGGAGGCGGCCCAGGGCACAAACAGCCCCCGTCACTGCACGTTCCCACCCCCTGCACCCCTCGGAGGCACACCACAGACAGAGCGCAGGGCGCCCACGCCAAGTCAAGCAGAGGCCTGAGGCGGCCTTACCTATGGGAGGCGGCCCAGGGCACAAACAGCCCCCGTCACTGCACGTTCCCACCCCCTGCACCCCTCGGAGGCACACCACAGACAGAGCGCAGGGCGCCCACGCCAAGTCAAGCAGAGGCCTGAGGCGGCCTTTCCAGCTGTTACATCTCTAGTTGTACTCTTTCCTTGCAAGTATAGGCCTTGCCATGACTTCTCTCATTAACACAGAATACAATAAACATGGATCTGGAATGAAGTTTCTATTTTATATTTCCAACCTGAAAATTCAGTACTGCCCATCCAAGTTCAGTGTCACCTGACAGGCTTTAAAAGTGACAGTGCTGAGGAACGATATAGTAACACTGCATTTCTGCAAAGACAACACAACCAAACTATGCTGCAATGTCTGCTGCATTCCTCCTTTCATACTTAAAAAAACGAATGCCTATGACACAGCTATTCCATTGTAGGGTGTTTTACAAACTGCTACCTGTCTAAACATACAATGGGAGTTATCTTAACATACAGATCCTTCTCTGAGTTTGCACAGAACAAAATATGTCAGCTGTTACAACCCGGCAGAAAGGCACGGCTTTCCACAGCCATGAGTCCAGCACACGTGGGTTCTGGGGTAACTCCTGGGCACAGCAGAGCTCAACACACAAACCAACAGCCACTGCCCATTTTCTACCAAACTCAGTGTTTGGGGGAAAAAAAGTGACACAGGATAATGTTCTTTAAGCTGGCAATAAACACAAGATCACTTTTTTAGCCGTAAGATAGGCCAAATCAAATCACTAAAATTTCTAAAAATCCAAAGTTCAAAATTCCAGAATGGTGAGGGGGAAAAAAAAATCCCCAAAACAACATAAACAAAAAGCCAAAAGCAAGCTTGAAGTTTTCAGACAGGTATATATAATTTAAATTAGAACTGAAAATAGGCTTTAAGCCCTATAAGTATTATTTCCCTAGAAAGTAAGTTCTGAAAGTGCAAAATTATAACTAAAAAGGTCCCCTTTTCATCTCACACAAGCACAGGACAGGGAGGGTCACGAACGGCACTTCCTTTATTATTAGGGCTGGCTTCAAATGAGGGTGCCTGATGCGATATGCTGCAAAAAGTAATAATAAACCTGATCATTGGCTCCAACTCATTTCTCTTGTAAAAAATGTCACGGACAGCTGCCAATATTTGTTTTAAAAGAAACCAGGCGGGAGGATAGACTGTCTCACTTTTGCTCGGGAGCATTAGGTCTTCTCAAGCATGCTTCCTGCAGTCTGTCGAATGTTCTTTGTCGGTGCTCAAATGTCAAGCAAAAGCCAATAGCATCTTCTGTTTCTCGGATTCGTTTCTGGAATCTGCATCTATCCCTTGCAAATTCTTCCCAGGGTCCTTTGCGATCTTCATCATCGCTTAAGTAATACTCAGTCACTTCTTCAAGGAAGGTCACCTATAAAGTCAAAGAATAATGTTAACAACTCTAGAATCTTGCCGTTAGCATCAAAGTCAGTAACCTTTCATGCCACCAATTCTTTCAGAATATTCCATGTTACAGGAAAACCTGAGTTCTGAGGAGCTGGCATTTGTCTATAACAGCGAACAAACGCCACCCACAGCTTTCACGTATATACTGTGAGTCTCTCATACATCTATCTCCACCAGCGCTATAGAACTCATGTATTACTTTAACGATCTTTAACATACTCAAACGAAATGTCAAAGCCAGTCGTTAGGCTTTTTATTAATAAAATGAAAACAGATGAGAAACAGATTTTTATATAGTCAAGCCCTGGTTTTGTTTTGTTTTTTTTAAAGATCTGTTTTCATTGGAAAGTCAAATTTACAGAGACAGAAAACTTCCATCTGCTGGTTCACCTTCCAACTCCACCTTCCAGCTGGAGCTGAGCCAATCCAAAGCCAGGAGCCTGGAGCTTCTTCCAGGTCTCCCACGGTTGCAGGGTCCCGAGGCTTTGGGCCGTCCTCAACTGGTTTCTCAGGCCACAAGCAGGGAGCTGGATGGGAAGCGGGGCTGCCGGGATACAAACAGGCACCCATATGGGATCCCAGCGCATGCAAGGTGAGGATTTAGCCACCAGGCTACCACACCAGGCTCCCTACTGGTTTTTAGTCCATAGGGAAATATAGCCTGATACTCTTTCCCAAAAATAACAACCTTTCAAAAATAAGCTACTACATTTCTCAAAGTAAAAGTTTCCATCGGAGTCTGAAGGCTTTAACATCCCTAATTTTCATTCTTTTCCCTTTACAAAAAAATTCCCATTTCTCTTTCCAATCTTTAGGTTATTAGTATGATACTATTTCTACCGTCTTTCATGATCAGATGATAAATGATGAACTAGCTTAGTGCAGCAAAGAATCCTATAGTGAAGAGGAATAAATATGCCATCACGCTGTCACTGTACTCTTGAAAACAGACCGAGTGTCCCTCACCCAAAATGCTTGGGATGCAGAAGTGTTTGAGTTCCCCAGATTTGAGAAGAATTGTGTAGACTCCATCAACTGAGCATCCTTCATCTGAAAATTACAACTGTGAAAAGCTCCACAATCCAAAACTCAAAAAGCAAAGTGACAGAGACAGCAACCTTCCACCTGCTGCAGCTGGATGGCTGCAAAAGCCCAAGGTGGCACCAAGTGAGCCAGGAGCCAGGAGCTCCACTGGGTTCCCCACGGATGGCAGAACTCAAGCACTTGGACCAGCTTCAGTTACTTTCCAGGCACGCAGGAGGCAGCAGGATCAGAGCACAAAGCCAAAGCCTCTTCAGTGTCAGGCTGATGCTCAAACACTGTGGGCTGAGAGCACTTCCGCTTTCTGGATTAAGGATGCTTAATCTGTGAAAGAAATTGTGACTATTGTAATATGGATGATGGCATATAACGAGTGACATTACCCACTCATTCTACTTCCTTTATAATGGCTTCTAAAATATCAAACTCCAACCGTAAATACTTTAAAATCTGTTCAACAGTTACATCAGATAATCCCACAGTGACCTCCAGCTTTCATTCCCTTTACATCAGGCTGGGAAATGCCCCCGAGGACAATTAGCAGGTATGTAATACCTTACTAACTATTGCATTCCAGCCATTATTTGATTGTGCCACTAAAATAAATAATAATAATCTTTACCATATGCCAAGCTCTTTGCAAAGTCTTGCAATAATCTCCTTTAATCCTTACCTCAATCTTAGGAATTCTGTACAGAAAAGGAAACGGAGGCAAAATGACTTACCCAAATCACATGGCTGTCAGGATTCAAGTGAACAGAGCCTGGCCCCACCATTATCCCCAAATGTGCAAACAGCAGTCAAAGACTGCCAACTATTACCATGTTTAGATATATCTTCGCTAAATTTTATTTCTGGTACAACACTCGTATCTACTTGGCCCCTTTCATTTTACTTAGTGAGCTGAAATGGGCCACTTAAGTGCAAGAAACGTATGCATGTGCAGTCGGCATAACCTCCACCAGAGCAAAGCAATCGAGGCCATGAGACCCCAGGCCCCAGGTCCGTGCGTCCTAAACACCGAGCATGGAGCAAACGGGTCTCCAGCTGCCAAGTTCTCACCCTGACCAGTCTCCCGCTCCAACCAGGCCCCTTAACAGGATCCGGAGCAGCTCATTTCTTATCAGGGCATGTACAAAGTAGGAGCCACAAGTCAGTGTTCCCACGACTCCCTGTGTCTGTGGCAGGACTACCATGTGGGCAAAGCCTGCAGCCACAGTCCCACCCACCTGAAGCTGCAGGTCCTGAGGCCAACCATCACCTGGCTCCTTCTAGAGAGGGGCACAAGGGAGTCCAGAACTTTCCCTCTACAACAAAACATCACTGTGTTTGAGGGGATTTTCAACTGCTAACTCCAGCTGAATACACAATTCAGAGGTGATGCTCTCAAAGAAACTTTTCAAAAATTAACCTAGAACAGCAAGGAATCACCACCAAGTGACACATCACTGTGTACTGTGATTTCACTGTAGCTGCCCACTGCCAAACAATACTACACCTGGCAGCAAGGCAATGCCAGTCCTATAGAAAGCAAAACCATGTAATGTCAGCATTTCCTGATACAAAAATTCACACTTTCGCTCATGGCAAACAACCAGACAAATCTGACATGCTACTTGGAACCACCATCCCCTTGGGGTCTAATGGTCAAGAACCAAGACACGTGAGCTTGCAAACAACACACTAGTGTTTGCAAACGCACCTCACTTAAGACTGCTGTAAATCCCCATGGCTCCAACAGATAGGCAACCTCTGGACCCTCTCTCAACCTCAGCCCCTGAACTACCGAATCCTGTAAACACATGGCTTCCTATTTCTGTTCCCCAAACCTGAGTGAACAATTGGAGCTCACAGGCCCGGCCCAGCTGGCAACAATGCATGGTGCCTTCAAAGGAGCACCCATCTGGGACCTCCCCAATCCCTGTACACAGCTCCAGGCCTTCCTCAGGAACAGGTGCCAACACGCCTCCAGACAGCCCAGCTGCCTAAGGGCCGCTACATCCACACCCAACAAAGAAAACACAAACCTTTCTTTTGATTGGTGAGCGTCTTTCTCCAGAAAGACCCCCACACCGAGTCCGGCCCCGGCCCCGGCGTCTACTTTCTCGGCTGTCCGAGAGCTGCACCTTACAAGTAAGCAAGGTGTGACTCTCCGAGGTGACCACAATGCACTCCGGTGGCTGCCGGGCGTCGGAACAGCCCTGCCCACTTTTCCCTGCAGTTTGGAAGGGAGCCTTAAAATTGAACAGGTTGTAGGGGTCGTCGGAATGGCAAAAAGAGTCCCACAGCTGCAGACTCTCCGCCTCGTCCACACTGCAGTCCCACTCATCCTCCTCCTCCTCCTCCCCGTCCTCGGATTCGGAGCTAGGCTCGGGGGTCTCGGGGAGGCTCCCAGCCTGGGGCACAGCCTCCAGCTCACAAGGCTCAGCCCAGTCTGGCACGGCCGCGGCAGGGTCCGCAGGGGCACTTTTGGCAGCCGTCTGCAGCGTGGCTGTGAAGTTCTGGAGGCTGTAGGGGTCTACACTGTAGAAGGAGTTCCAGAGGGGAAGGTCCTCCGGGTCCCCTTCGGGCTCTGACTCGGACAAGGAGCCATCACTGCCGAAGCCGTCGTCCTCAGCCTCCTCATCCCAGCCTTCTCCCTCGGAATCAGAGCTGCTCTCCGGGTCACTGGTGGCACCCCCCAAAATGTAATCTATTAGTTTGTTGCTACACGCCGGCCTGGCCGCGGCGGGCAGCTCCTCCTCTGGGGACTCCCCAGCCTCCCTGCCCAGGGGCACCTCGCACGAAGCACAGCTGCCCAAAGCACCCTCTTCCGTCCACAGTTCTAGGCCGTCCTCACTGGGCTCCGGGGAGGCTCCGGAAACGAGACCTCCGGCCGGGGGAACACCCTGGGCCGCGTCCCCTCCGCAGCCTTGCTGCTCCAGGCGGAGAAGGTTGTGTTCCTCCTCCAGGCTGTGGTAGCCGTGGTCCTGCTCCGGGGTGGGCAAGTCCTGCCCCTTGCCGGCCTGTTGGAGGAATTCCAGCCGTTTCATTCGCAGATGGTGGATCTCGGGCAGGCCTTCCTGGGACGGAGGTGGACACGCCTGCCACGAGGCTAGGGGCTGCTCTGCAGACAGCGGCTGGGGCTCGCCTGGCTCCTCCGAAAAGCAGCTGCTCGCGGAGGCCAGGCTCTGGACGTCCATCCGCTGGCCACTTCCGCTGCTGCGCCGGCAGCCCACCTGCACCCAGGGGAGGCAGTCCAGATAGGAAGAAGGGCTCAGCATGTAGGAGACTACACTGACACTGGCCAAGCGCTGAATGCTCCGAGGCCCGGAGGGCGAAGAACCCAGCTCCCGGTCAGCAAACAGACGGGCCTCCAGGGCACCGGGCAGCAGCTGCTCCAAGAGAAACGGGTGCACGGCAGGGTTCAGTCCGCTGCCCTTGGCTTTGAGTCCCAAGTCCAGATCAGAGGCCGGGCACTGCCAGTGGAGCTCCTCCTCCAGCCAACCCAGAGTGCTGGGGACCGAGTGGTCCGGGGGGTCGGCAGAGGGGTCGGCTGCCTCCTCTCGCCCCCGCCAGCTTCTCAGGGCGCTGTACCGGCCGGCTAAGCCCAACCACCTGGTCGGAAGCAGAGCACCGAAGAGATGGCTCCAAAGCAGCACTTTCTGAAGCAAGCCGGGCAGCGGCGCCAACAGCTGGGCCAGCAGCTTTGACCAGTAGCCGGGCCGGGCGTCGGAAGGCAAAGCGGCGTCCCCGGAGCTCTGCGGCGCGGCCGTGGGGAACTTGGACCCGGCTGCTTCCGACCGCCAAGGCAGGAAGCCGGGCAGCCGGCACCAGGCGCGGGCCCGAGGCCCAGGCCGCGAGCTGTGCGATCCCGGATCCATCTCCATCTTCTCGGCAGTTTTCTCAGCGAAGGAACAAGTCGGCGGGACGCGAGGAGACTTAGGCAGTTCCGGCCCCACCCCGCAGTCGAGTCAGGGCTCCGGGCCGAACCCCGCGCCGGCAGAGAAGCCACAGAGGGCGGCGGCTTCGGCCGCGGACGCTACAACACAGACTCGAACGGCCCGCGCAGCAGGCGGCCATCCTAGCGGGAAGCCGGCGTCTAGGTCTGCTCAGGCCGCAGCGGCATAGGCAGCAGTCCTCTCCAGCAGCGGCGACAGCGACTTTCCCCGAGCAGTACGACACCGGAAGGGCTGGGGAAAAAATGCCCGGAGCGACGGCCGGCAACGCTCAAAATGGCCGCAGATCCAGCGCACCGAGGACTAGGCTGGGGTCCCGGATGAGATGCAAACAGGCCGAGCATCTGCGCACGCACTCTCGCGCCGCCCTACGCCATTTCTAGAGCTCCGGGGGGCGGGCCTTCGCGCACTTCCGTGTGGCCGCTGATTGGTTCCGCCCGATGTCCCTGTCGGCTTCCTTACTGTAGTACGCGGGAGGTTGCATCAGCCGAGGCAGGGCTCTGCGCCTGCGCGAGGGTTAGCCTGTGGATTTGCTGCGAGGGAGCCCCCAGGGCTCTTCTGGGAAGGTGTAGGGACGACGAGGGGAAAGTTCACCAGAGAAGTCCCCGAGCCCTCGTGGCGGCCGAATTCAGGCCTCGTGTAATGATGTGTGCGGGGGCGTGTAGCGTGTTTGAATGCTCGGCCGACCCTCAGCCTCATACCAGGCTGTTGAGAGTTGTTGGGCAAGGCCAAATCCCCAGCAGTGAATGATGATAAGAGTGGGAAAATAAGTCAGGTGAGAGTTGACTCAGTGCATCGCATGCCTGCCCCTTCCGCCGCAGGGAGCTGTTTGAGATAGCTTGAGGTCTTTGAACTCAAGAATATTTCAGGAACTTCGTGAAAAATGGAATTAAACCTGTTGGTTTTGACGTAAAACCATTTTGAAACCCATGTAGGTTTTTCATAGTACGTGTTTTTTGGCGAACACAGCCCATGTCGATGAAAATGGCTTCGCACCCGAGGCGTGTGGAGCCACGTGAAGTCACAGAGGTTGCAGTCCCGGGAACTGCCCGTCCCCTCCTCTGCTTCCAGACCCAAAGACACACATTAGTGTTGAGCATCATTGGCTGGCAGTGGCTGTATGTGGTTCTCTCCTGAGAGGCTGGCCTCGGTTCATCTTGGTCAGAACTGGTCGTGGACATTCCTGAAGAGAAGCACGCTGTTAACCACGGAAGGACCACAGAAGGGCTTGTGGGAGCCGGGCAGGCCTCTGTTGCCCCAACAGCCACTTTTTTGCTAGGAAACCAAGAAGTCCTTGATGTCTGTTGTGCTTTCTGGTTCTGTTGTCCACATCTCTCTGGCTATATCCCGTGTCTGAGAACTTAAGGAAAAAAATGATGCAGTAAAAGGGTCCCTTTTAATATGGCAAGGAAGTCTCAGGGATGCAAAGTCCTGGGAGCATCTATCTTAACACCTTAAGGTAAAGGTAGTAATCCCTCTCCCAGTGGGTTGGTGAGAGAGCTGTGTTCTTAATACAGCGCCCAGCCACACAGCATGGGGCGTGCACACTGGTTAATATTCTTGGGCCGTTCTCCTTTACAATCGCGAATTGTTTCCCGTTGTGCAAGGATAAGGGCCGTGTTGATTCTGCTTCTGTACGATTTTAGTGTCATTGTAGTCACTCCCTCCGCGCAGGTTATCCCCAGGAATGGTGTTCTTTCCTCACTGTTGATGCTTGGCCAGGCTTCACCGTCTCCAGGGCCATACCAGGCCAAAGCCAAGAGCCAGGGACTCATTTGGGGTCTCCCACGTGGGTGGCAGAAGGCATTACCTGCTGTCTCCCATGGCTTCCCCCCACAGGAAGCTGGCCTCTGAATTAGAGTCAGGATTCAAATCTAGGTGACCCCAAGGTGGGAATCAGGCATGCAAGGGTGGTATTTTTATATGAATTCTAAGTTCTTTTTCTGACTCATCTGTGTGTGAAGTGCGGAGTGATATCTGTTTTTTTTTTTTAAAGTTAAAAAATGTATAGCACCATGAACTTAAACAAAATGTACTACATAGCTAATGTATCGAAAAAGAAATGAAAGAGAAAATACAAAAGCTTCTTGGGTAAAATGATGCTACTATGTGATCTATGAATCAGTGAAGAATTTGATAAGAGAAAGGAAGCTATTTGGAAAAAATGAAAATAAAAACAAAAATATCAAAACCTATGGGTTACAGCAAAACCAGTATGGAGAAGATTATTGACCTTAAAATTTGCATGAAGGCCGCCCTATATCAGAGAGAACCTGTAGTATTTGTCCTTTGGGGGTTGACTTATTTCACTGAGCCTAATGGTCTCTAGTTGGGACCATCTTGTGTGGTATGATTTCATTCTTTTTTAATGGCCGAGTAGTATTCTATGGAGTAGATGTATGGCATGGTGTCATGAGAGGCTTTATGATAAATGATCTGAAATATATCAAATGTAGATCAGCTAGATATTCCAGCTGTTTAATATTAATTCAAATACTAAAAACATTTGGGGGGGAAGTTCAACAATACAGTTTGAATAAATGTCTTCAAAAAACATTTTTCTTTTTTTTTATGAGATTTATTTTTATTGGAAAGACAGATATACAGAGAGGCGGAAAGACAGAGAGGAAGATCTTCCCTCCGATGATTCACTCACCAAGTGAGGACAACAGCTGGAGCTTAGCCAATCCAAAGCCAGGAGCTAGGAGCTCTTCTGAGTCTCCTACGCGGGTGCAGGGTTCCAAGGCTTTGGGCCATCCTCAACTGCTTTCCCAGGCCACAAGCAGGGAGCTGGATGGGAAGCAGGGCCGCCAGGATTAGAACCAGTACCCATATGGGATCGCAGGCATGCAAGGAGTGGACTTTAACCACTATGCTATCGCGCCAGGCCCAAAAATATTTTTCTATTTTAAAATGTTTGTATGTGTTAAGATGCAGTAGTTTATCTTGTGTCTCATTTTTGAGTTCTGAAATAGTAAATATTGATGAATAATGATCCACATAGAATTATTTGGGGAACTCAGTAACTTTCAAGAGTTACAAGATGTTCTTTTTTTTTTTTTAAAGGTTTTTAAATTTTTATTGGAAAGGCAGAGAGAAAGATCTTCCGACTGCTAATTCACTCATTAAGGGGCCACAATGGCCAGAGCTGAGTGAACCAGAAGCCAGGAGCCTCCTCCATGCATGTCACATGGGTGCAGGGTCCCAAAGCTTTTCTTAGGCCATAAGCAGGGAACTGAAAGGACAGTGGAGCAGCTGGGACACAAACTGATGCCAATATGGGATCCTGGCACATGCAAAGCAAGAATTGAGTCACCCAGCCATCATGCCAGGCTGAGGGCAAAATGTGTATATATATGTGTGTATATATATATATATAAATAAAATACATTTTTTAAAGATTTATTTTATTTCTATTGGGAAGTTCCATATACAGAGAGAAGAGACAGAGAAGAGGATCCGTCTGATGATTCACTCCCCAATCGGCTGACCTGAAGCCAGGAGCCCAGAGCCTCTTCCAGGTATCCAACGCAGGTGCAGGGTCCCAGGACTTGGGGCCGAGGACTTTGGCTGCTAGGCTACTGCACTGGGCCAAAAGATATATTTTTAAGGTTTATTTTATTTTTATTGGAAAGTCATATATACATGGAGGAAGATCTTCCCTCTGTTAATTCATTCCCCAAGCAGCTGCAACGACTGGAGCTACACTGATCCTGGCACGTGCAAGGTGAGGACTACTGCTCTGGGCCCAAGGGCAAAATATTTTAAGGGTTACTAATTGAGCATGTTGACAGGTACACAATAGGTGACCCATAGATGCTTGTCGGATGAGTAGAAGAGTAATATCTTAATTGCATCCTCCAATGACCAAGCCTCTTTCATTTCCTAACTCTCCTCTCTGTGTAGATCTGCCTTTCCAATAAAAATAAGTAAAACTAAAACAAAACAACAACAACAAAGAAAAACTTACTGAGTGGGTCACTAGTCCCCCATCTGTTCTTTAGCCATACACTTTTTTTTTTTAATGAATTATTTATTTGAAAGTTACAGTGAGAGAGTGAGCTTATCTGCTGGTTTACTCCCCAAATGGCCACAGTGGCCAGAAGTGTACCAAGTCAAAGGCTCCACGACATTCTTCTTGGTCTCCCACACACCTGCAGGCAGCCACACACTTGGGCTCATCTGCTGCTTTCTCAGGTGCATTAGCAGGGAGTTTGGATTATAAGCAAAGCAGCTGGTTCTCAAACCGGCACCCACATAGGATACTGGCATTGCAGGTGGTGCCTTAATGTGCTGTGTCACGGTGCTGGTCCCAGACACACTGTGTTCTTCCTTATCTTGAAAGTTGTTCTGGGGTGGGTCAGGCATGTGGAGCACAACTCCGTTTTATTGGCCAGTTTTGGCTGAGTGGAACAAGCAGCCCACTTCCCCTTTCTCGCTGCCCCCCCCCCCGCCCCCTAGCTGCTTTTAAAGCAGCCAGCACCATCTTTATTCTGTGGGTGGCCAGTGTGCCCATCGGGTGTTGGGCTTTGCCTGCTGGCTACCCAATGATAAGCTCTGGGGACTTGGGGGTGACAAAATATTGCCTAAGGACATTCATGGATATGGACACCATATGTGTAAGTGAGGAATGAATCCTGAGGGACACTTGTCAACAGGGCCACTGCACTGACTGGTAAGGCGACTAAGACCTGGTGATATGGAGGGAAGAGATTGGAAGATCTGTATGGGTCAGACTGATTCATCAGTCCACATGGGAGTCCTGAGATGGGTTAGCACAGAGTCACTGACCACCACACACCATACCACATGACAGCTATGGCTGGGGGCCTGTCTAGCAGACTGAGATCCAAGTACCTGATTGAGTGTTGGAGCAGGAGACAGGTCACATTAGGCAGGGCCATGACAATAACCAACACGTGAGAGAACCAGACCTAAGGGTAGATTCTGTCGGGGATAAGTGGGCCCAACTCTATGGAAATACAAGTCCCACTGGTTAGCTCAAGAGTTGGGGTGGTGACTGGCTGAACTAGGAGTGAACATGGAACCCGCCAACACTCACAAATATCAGAGCTGAGAATAAGCTAGGAAGATCCAAGCTGCCGCATCTGCGTGTGCACCCTAAAACAAGGTGTAGTGTGGGCCACCCCGCAACATGTACCAGCTTGTACAAAGGCCAAGCTGGAGGGGCAGGCTATGCCAGGCAAGGGCCTAGCACCTGCTGGAGCATGTGAGATCTGGGTCTGGGAGTGAGCTGAGTGGGGAAACTGGGAGACTCCCCTACTGGGCCATAGCTCCCACTAGTGAGCATGTGTTCCAGACCTAGGGGTCAG